CCTAGCTAACTACACCACCTCCATTAATGCATCTCCTTTCTCTTTTTTCTTCCCCCTCCACTAGTTGAAGTTGTCTCCTCCCAAATTAGCTAGCTAGGTAGATGTAGCATTTAGTGAAGTGACCTATGTACCCCCTATCTAGATCTAGCTTTGTCAGGAAGAGCTTTGTCCACTTTTGATGTCCCTACTACATCATAATCTCCACCGTGTGCTCGATCTCGAGATATATACAGGTGATTAAAAATTCATGCTTTTGCAAGAATGAAAATATGTGTATGTGTGTGCGATATGATAATCGGGCGGTATGATGGAAATTGTGTGTGTGGCATGAGTTGACGCCGAATTGTGTGCTTGTGAGTTGCCTATGTTTTGCCGAAATGTCGATTTATTTCCGTTTCGGTGAATTCCGGGCAAACTCTAGATCCATATGTCCTATTTTTAGGGAAGGTCATGCCGAATTTTTGTATGACTTTGATGCATGCATGCATTTTTATAATCGATTTGTTTATTATTACCGTGCATGCGTTCATGATGGTCAGTGGAACGATGGTGGACAGGTGGTTGCGGTCGGCGGTGCAGGACATGAAAGAAAATAACCTGACAGAGGTTTTATGTCTGTGTCGAAGATGCAAAGGAATAGTTTGGCTCGACCCCTATGACAGTGGTCGTGTTGAAGTGCACCTGCTCATGACTGGTTTCATGGATGGCTATACTCGGTGGATAATTGAAGATGAGGATGATGATGTTGAGGACGCCGATGGGGCAAGCAATGAAGACACGGGGCAAGACGAAGAGATGATCGATAATGGCGGCGGGGAAGAGGCCAGACATGGCGGCGAAGAAGGGGCCGGACATGGCGGCGGAGAGAATGTGGACTCCACGCCGGAGAGTTCGTCGGTACTAAGTTCAATCGTGCGGGACCCTCATGTTCAAGCACTGCTTCGCAAGGAGACAAGTATTGAGAGAGCTGCTTCTAGATATGAGGCTAAGCTGCAGCAACTGGTGGTAGACTCGAACACTCCATTGTATGATGGTTGCAATCCTGAGGTGACCCGCTTGAGTTTCACGCTCCAACTCCTGAAGACAAAGGCTAAAAACAAATGGGCCGACACTAGTCTCGATGAGCATCTCAAGTACCAAAAGGATGTTCTTCCCGCGGGGAATCTATGTCCTAATAGTGTGGATAAGGCCAAGAAAATCGTGTGCGCTCTTGATCTACCGCATGTTAGATACCATGCATGCATCAACGATTGCATAATTTATCGGAAGGAGTATGCTGAAAAAACAAGCTGTCCAGTGTGCAATGCTTCTCGATACAAGAAGGCCGGGAACCAAATGTCCCCAGAAAGTTGTATGGTACTTACCGATCACTCCCCATCTCCAGCAGTATTTCGTAGATCCCAAGGAAGTAAAGCTCATGCGCTGGCACACCATTTGTCATAATCTGACTTAACAGCGGCTGATCCGCCGATCAGTGATTTTTGCTAAATGATTACACAAGACGTGGTGTTTTCTGCGAAAATATGCAACGTGGTGTTTTCTGCAAACCTAGCCTTCAAAGTGGTGGTTCCGTGGAATTTACTCGCCACTCCTCCTAGC